TGTATTTACTTAGCAAGAATAACACAGCTATGCATACACAACAGCAAATAAATAAGCTCCATTATGCAGTGGCCCTTATTATTAGTTACACCTTGATTATTTCAGAAAGAGTGATTTTTTCCCCCAATTTTATTTTAATCACAATTACGGATAATCAGGAGAAATTCTTTACTTAGCAAGAAAGTGTGATTTAAAGCAAATATTCTTGCTGGCACATAGTCTGATCTGATCTATCAGTATTAGGTGAGGAGTAAGGTTCGTGTGCAGCCATTGTCAAGAGTTACCCTTAAGGTGGGCCCCAGTGGCTCAAACTGAGGCTGAAATAAGAATCATTCCAGGCCATCCTGGGCAAAAAGTTAGTGAGATCCCATCTCAACCAATAGCTGGGTGCAGAGGTATGCTCCAAGCTACACAGGAGGATGAGAATAGGAGGGTCATGGTTGCAGGGTAGCCCAGGAAAAAAGTTTGTGAGACCTCACCTCAGTGGAAAAAAGCTGGGTATGGTGGCACACACCTGTCATCCCAGGAATGGAGGGAAGCATAAAATATGAGAATTGTTATCTAGGTCAGCCCAAGTAAAAACAAGACCCTATCTCCAAAATAACTGGGGCTGGAGGCATGGCTCAAACAGTAGAGATCCTACCTAGCAAGTGTGAAGCCCTGAGTTCAAACCCAGGTACTGTCAAAAACAAAACCAAAAAACCCATCACTAACCTGTTTCCTGATAAAATTGATACACAAGTGAGCACAACCTATCCTTACGTTAAGCTCATTTGTCTCGAAAGGTGGAAAACATCTGAACAAATTCATTTATCAACTAACCCAATAAGAGTAGGTGAGCCTAAGAGTCTTTGTTGAAAGAAAGATTAGGGTCTGAATTAAAAATTCTGTTGCCAAAGGCACTATTGGGCAACTAATCTGCCAATGTACGGAGGACCTCTATAGAACAGAGTGTCACACTAACTCTAGAATCAGCTATAGAAATACAAATTGTGGCTAGCATGCTAAAACATCAAAGTTCTTTGTCACTCTACTTTCAGTAATGTTTTGATATTTCCTAAGTTTTAAACAAGAAGCTCTGTTAAAGTTTTTGCTCTATTTGATTAACATGTTGATTCAGATGATATGTTACTGCATCTCCTGATGTCAGAGCCACCTCAAGCTGTTTGTCACCCCAGTTTGATCTGCTCACTTTCCACCATCCTGCCCCAACCTACATTCCTGTTTCATTTGGGAACATGGTGCTGAATGCTTTCTAACTTAACAAGTTTTATATCCTAGTAAACAAAGATCAGCAGGAGTAGACCTGTAACTGAAGGCAATAGGTTTGTTTTTCTTGTTCCAGCAGGAAGGAATGCACTCTTGAGTAACGGTGAGACATTTCATTAAGTGGAGGGTTGGAAGAGCCATTTTGTAGGATTTGGACTTCAGCTCATGGCCCTAAAGTGGATGTAAAGAAGCAGGAACTAGTGCTGGTTTGACTGTAATCAAAAAGTGGGGTCAAGTCAGTAATAGGTTGCCTCAGTAATTTTTATCTAGGAATGAAAGGATTAAAGCAGATGTAAAACAGAAGTGATACTTCTTTTAACTATAAGAGTAGGATATTTAATCTTCTTTATGATTTTGTATGGCTTTGTGTCATAGCTTGGATCTTGAATGAAGGCCCTGTGTTGAATGAAGGCTTGTGCCCAGCTAGCAGGCTATTCGGAGGTGGGGGAACCTTGGGAAGTGGGGCCTAGTGCAAGGAAGTTAGATCATTTGGGTGGGGCATGCCCTTGAAGGGGATATTGGGACCCCAGCCCGTTCCCATGTTCCCATCTCTCTCTCTGCTTCCAGCTACTACGAGATGAATTTGCCTCCTGTATCCATGTTCCCACAATGAGGTACTGTGCTGCCACAGGCCCAAAACTACAGGAACAAGCAGCATGGATGGAAACCTCTGAAACCATGAACCAAAGTAAATCTTTTCCCTTATTAAGTTGTTTATCTCAGGTATTTGTTTTGTAACAGGAAACTGACTAACACACCTCTTTCTTTTTTTCCTAATGTATTTACAGAGCAGCCATATATGAACAATGTTTCTATTCTGTGAGTGTTGATTATGCTCAGTTCAGGTCATTATGTCTTGGCTGCTGGAAGGGCTGCTTTTTACTTCCTCACAAGCTGAAATGCATTAACTAGACTAGTTTTTCAACTCAAGCAATGTTAGATCTGATAGGCAAATAAAGGTTTAAGATATTACTATGGGTGTCAATAGAAGCCAGAGCAAGTGGAGTATAAACCTCTATTAAAAGCACAGAAACAAGAATAACTGAGTGACATTAAATTTGAAATAATTCCTGAGTCTAATTGGCAAAATGAGAGGGCTTATCCCTTGGAGATTGGACTTTCAAAGATGGGCTTCTTTTGATCCTATAATGGTATAGTGTAGACTGATTTTCTACCATTCAGACCCCATGGTCGTGAATTGCTTTCCTACCCTCACTGACCTGCATATTTGCAGTTATCATAGGTAATTCAGAATGGGGGTGAATGGGCTTACTTTAGCATCTTTTCTTGTGCTATGGTGTCTTTCTAGGTACATTGAGATAATAAAACAGAAGATATAATACCCTAAAGGAAAACTACTTGGTTTTATGTTTTATATTCCTTTTAGATTTTTATCATTTTGAAAATGACTAAGACATTTCCCCTCATGCACTTTTATACATTAATATAAAACTTCTTTTTTATTTAATAATTTTGTTTCAATTTGGATATATTTGTTGTACAGAGGGAATTTATTGTGACAATTCCAAATAGTCTTATATTTTACATTGGTTAGATCACCCCCACTGTCTCTACTCCTCAACCCCGTCCCTGCCCCACTTGAAGCAATTGCAAGAGGTTTCTTTGTTCTATTTTGTATGAGTGTATGAAGTCCATCAACCATATTTCCTCACCTTAATCTCCTTCATTCACTCCCCCATCCCACAAGTGTCCCCCCATAGTACATATTTTTTAGTCCTATCTTTCATTAATACCTAAGTCAATATTCAAAGGGGTTCCTCAATGAATATACAATTCTTGACAACTCAAATTTCAAGTGCAATATGATGGTAAACCTACTTTATTCCTCAGCAAATAATTGTTTCCATTTCCCATTATCCTCTCCAATACCTTATCCAATGCCAATGGCAAGAAAACTATGGAGAAGCAACACAACTGTGTGGTTTAGGTCACAAATTCCCTCAAAATTTTCTCCAAAAAAAAGAGAATACTGTGTTTTCACTGCCACTTTAAAGCAGAGAAAAGTACTAAATTTTATCTGTGGAGATTTATGGAAATGTTTTCATAATTTCCATGTGCTACTGGCATCAGAATTACTGGGGACTTTGATAAAATCAATGTTCTAAGTCTTACCCCAAACCTGTAAGAACAGACTTTTTTAGAAGATGGTAGGGCATTGATCTGCAGGTAATTTTTATGTGCATTACAGTTGATTTATTATCTCTAACTCCTGGACAGAGGATTTGAGGTATGTTCCTGTTCATCTAAGACTGAAAATTTCAATAAGCAGTTTATCATGTTCCTCCAGATGTCCCCATCACCTAGAATGGAGGCAGACATTCAGCACATACTGAATAATTGCTGGTTAGGTAAATGAACAAAAAAGAGCATGAAGTCATAGTCTTAAAATAGGTAATTTAGAGGTCAGTCAGGAGCAACCATTTAAACATGATCCTGGTTCCACTGTTTGTCAATGTTTGACCTTGGACAAATACTTAATCTGCCTGTGCTCCAACTTTCTCAACAATACCAAAGAAATTGTACTACCTTACTTTGTTGTGAAGAATAAATGAATTTAAATATACAGGGTCCTTAGAACAATTCTTGTCAAAAACACAAAAAATGGTAATTATAGCCAAGGTCAGGCATCTAATCAACCAGATCCCACCATATTTCTGCACAACTCCTTCTCCAACAATTTTCTTGGCAGACATCAGAAGATCTTCTCTTCCAAAAATATCTCTTTTGCCATATGGCTTAGTCCTTCACATACGAGCAGAAATGTCCACCATTTTTCTAAAGTGGACATGAAAGCAGTGTGTATTATCAGTAAAACAGCACGTTTCCAAAGATGGGTTAGAAATCACAAATTTGAGCCCCTTTTCCTCAATAGCCTCAGGCAAAGGTCAGTGTGCAGAGGGCCTGGCCGTGGGTAGAATGCAAGAGCTTGCATATGGATAATATGTATGGATCTTTATGCTTCTCTGCATCTGAATGTATATCTCTATCTATGTATTTCTGGAGTTCAGAACTGGCCGGTGGACAGCGAAGGGATCTAAAACCTGACAGGATTGCTTCACTTTTATAGGATGGTTTAACAAAAAAGGCACTAAGCCCCTTCCTGAGATAAGCTTTGATTATACCCAAAATGCAGACAGTGACCATCTCCCACGGATCCTAGCACTCCAAAAAGGAAGACAAACGAAAAACTGTTTTCTCCAAGGCTTCAACTTGCCTGTCTCACGCTATGATCTACATTCAATCATCCGGGCAGCACAGTGGGGTGGATTTGGAGTGGACACGAAATTCTTTTCTGAAGACTTTGATTAAATCACATAATTGAAACCAAGCATCCTTGTTCCCTCGCGTGGAGAAGAGTCCGGGGGGTGGGGCATGTGGTTTGAGCACTTGAAGAGAGCGCTCCTTTGTGAGATTGTCTTGCACCTCAGCTCTGGAGAAAAAGGGAGGATGGGTGGGGAACTGGGGTACAGTGAGAAGTCACGGGAGTTAAAATCAAAGATAGGACCAAAGTATAAAAGGAGGGTTAGGGCTAGAAGAGGAACAGCTAGGATAGGACAGCCCGTCTGTGAATAGCTAGACAGCCTGGAGTTGCACAGGCGGAGCTCAGTAGGACAGGAGGCGGGGTTCAGAGCCGAGCCCGCCCTAGGCTGATCCGGTCCCGGGCCCGCCCGGGTGCGCAGCCCAGACTCGCGGTGGAGGCGGCGCTTTGCGGAGCTCAGTTGGAGTTTCCTGCGTGAGCTGGTGAACTACCGAATGAATGACCCTTCCTTTCTCTAGGATGGAGAATCCGGGTGCCCACGGACCTACGGATCCCTCGGACTGCACTCGCCACCTGGGGCGCACTGAGTGCGAAGTGGGGCGCGGGGCCCCCCTGGCTCCTGGCGCCCGGAATCCAGCAAGGACTGGGAGGAGCAGAAGCCTGGACGGTGCCCACGGGGATCGGAGGGAAGGTCGGGTCCTCGGACCCTCAGCCAGAGAAAATTCGGATTGTGAGTCCTGGGTCAGAGAGAAAGTCCTCTTTCTTCTGCACCCAGCGAGGTGGCTGGGGACTCAAGGGGACCGCCATGCATGGGAAGAGGTGACCGGTGGGGAGGATCTTCCTCAGGCGAGCAGGGACGACCACGATCAAGAACCCGACTGTCCTGTCTGTCAACCGGAAAAGAGGAATTTTGGCAGGCGAATGTCTGCTCCTTCGCGGCCACAGCCGCTGGACTCCGCAGTTCCACTCAAGCCTGTGCTCGTGCGGGTCGTGGATTATCAAGTGACTGAAGAATTGCTGGAGACCGCGTGGACGAACGGTCAAGTGACCATGAGGACAGAGGAGCGCTCCATGACCGCGGTCACTTTCCGCACCCACAGGGCATGAGACCGATTTGGGGCGCGGGGACCCTGGCTGTCCTCTCTCAGACCAAGGATTGTTTCCCGCCCCCAAGGACCTGATTTCCCTGTGGAGATTAAACGGGACACGGGAGTCAGAAGAATCCGAGGAATGCACGGGTTGGAGGATGAGCCATGATCCTTAAAAGAAAATGGTCTCCTGGGAACCCCAAGCAGCAACCCCCCAGAAGAACCTGGAACAGGCTGGTGGAGGGCGCAGTGCTCGGGGACGCAGGTGGTGCCCAGTGTCTCTTGGGTCTGGGGACCAATACCATTAAAAAAAAGGGGGACAAAAGGTATTTTCAGATTGGTAGAACGTAGGAATTTTGGACCAGAAAACCTGTTGTTGGTTCCATTTTGCAACAACTTTTATCTCTTGTCTGCCTCCTCCCCCTTTTCTTTAGGACCTAAAAGCAGAAGTGCAGTTTAAGGTCTGCTTTGTAGGAAGTGTGTGGAGGTGGGTGGGGAGAGAGAGAAACCTGTTTTTTTTGTTGTTGTTCTGTTGTACTTTTTGGCGGTACCAGAGTTTGAACTCAGGGCTTCACGCTTGTTAAGCAGGTGCTCTACCTCGTGAAGCACACCTCCAACCCTTGAGGCTTATTTTAAAAGCTGGAAAGGGCGTTTTAAAAAGTGGAGAAAAAAGACATAAAATGAAACATCAACTGAAGCCAATGTTTTCTTGTCACTCTTTTCTGATGTGCATTTGTCATTACCCCTCCCCCAAATTTCAGTGTTAAGAAAAGAGGACCTAGGGAAAGAAGGGGGGAGCAATACTGGCCTCAAAGACAGAATGTTATTTGAAAGGGATTTACCCCAAAGAATATCTAATTTAGTCTAGTAAAAATGCCTTTAATCTGAAATTTTAAATTATTTAATGTTGAAAATGCTACATATAAATATCATTTATAGTAATAGCAGTACTGTATATGTGTCCTAAAGTGACTATATTCCTGATTCTTATCTATAGTAATTCTTCACTTATCTATAAATATTCATTATTAAGAAAGAATGTGGTCACAAATGCAATAATATCTCTCTCTTGGTGTTTAAAAGAATCTCCTTGGCACTGTTTAGGAACAATTTGTTTTTCTGATTTTATTTATTCCCACTTGTCATTTAACACAATATTTGCTAATTTTATTATTGTTTTGGTGGGACTGGGATTTGAACTCAAGGCTCTACACTTACAAAGCATGCACTCTTCTGCTTGAGCCATGCCTTCAGTACATTTTGCTCTGGTTATTTTGGAGGTGGGCTCTCCTGAACTATTTGTCTGGGTTGGCCTCAAACCTCAATCCTCTCCACCTCAACTTCTCAAGAAGCTAGGATTACAGGTGTGAGCTACCTGGAGCCTGGCTATATTTACTAACTCTACTAACTGTTTAGTATCTGGTCTAGTTTGGAACCATGAGGAACAGAACAGACCCTCTGAGAGAGGTGAGCTGCTTCACTATGCTACTATCAAAGGAGTGTGGTTATGGTGACTATTCACAAAAGGAGAGTTAGGACTGAAAATAGTCTTTTGAGAGTACAACCCTGTTTTACAGATGAGCCAGCTGGGGCCTAAAGGTCATATAACACATATAGCTCACACGACTAATAAGCCTACTTACTAAGTAGACAAAAAATGTGGTTATCTCCCTCCTAAGAGGTTTTGGGATAACCTTTAGAAGGACTGATTTCTAGGCGTCAACAGATGCCTGAGGACTTAATGGGTTTTCTACGTCATGTGTATGAACGGTTTGAGAGTCACCTTGATGTCCCTATACACAGCAAGGTCTATGGACTGGAAAATCACTGCTAGCAGTTCTCAGGCCTGTGGGACCCTCACTTGCAAGAGGAATTCAGCACATGTGTTCAAAACTGTTTGGAAGGAAGGAAAGGTAACACTGGCCTCTGAAAGTGGAATCCTCTTCCTCCAGCAAACCTGCCTGGCTTCTAGGCAATGTTAACCTTCTTGGCAGACAAGTATTATACTTGAGCTTATTGGTCTGGCTGAGTCATACCATGTCCCAGGTGACTGAGCGTTGGCTGTAGACAAGTTGAACCTCTTTTTACAATGACCAAAAATGGTAGCACCATTCAGCTCTTTCCCTCAGGAGGCAAGTTCTGGGGTTAAGCTTAAGCTTGGGTTCAGATCTGGCTTCACCTCTTTCTAACTCTTACTAACTGTGACTTTGGGCAAGGTGCCTGATGTTTACATGCCTCTGTGTTCTCATTTGCTAACTGGAGATAACTAGCATCGTAGAGTTTTTCTTTCTAACATAAGTTAAATGAAAAATACTTAGAATCCTGCCTACATATAATACATGCTCCAATTTAGCCCTTATTATTAGTACACTTATGTAGTTATTATTTAACTCCCTTTTCATCCTAAGTATGATTTAGTTATTTATTTTATGACAAAGAGCAGAAAGCATAGAATATATAAAAAAAAAATCTAATGAAAGCCAAACCAGTGAATTTTACTAAGACTCTCTTCTGCACTGCTGAAAGAAAGGATTTACTTCTAGCTTTTCCCAAACTTTAATGGATCAGAAAGTACATTCTTTAAGTGCTTTAGAAATGACTTGCATGTCCAGTGTAAGGACTCATTAAGGCTCCCAGGACCTCTGCTTGCTGGAGTCTTAGAAAAGCTTTCACAGGCTGACAGCCTCTTTGGCAGCTCAGGGCTTTGCATACTTCCTTAAGGACCTGTCAGGTTAGTTTGTTGTCCCTCTGGGATTTTTTAATCTGGTGCTGTCATCTCAAAAAATCAGAATAGCCATAAGCAGTTTTCTTTTTCTCTCCTTTCTGTCAAAAATGTATGCTTTCAAGTGAGCTTAACTCCTTTAACCCAAATATGTTTGAGTTAATTTTATCTGTTAAGTGAAAAATTATTTTAAAACCTCCTTGTTAGCTGGCTACAACGTGTTTATAGATTTCTTTTAAAACAGATGTCTCACCGAAAACAGAAAGTGGTAGATGAAGTACTGTTGAATTTTCCTTCCAGGTTTTCCAGATCCTAGCAGAAGTCTGACATGGAGTGGGAGCCTGAGGAAAGGAAACCTGTCACTCACGAGTGTCCTGCCAGAGCATCCCCAGTGAGCCTTGTCCTCAACACTAGGAAGCCTCTGAGAACAGCTGGGTCTTGGCTCTAGGGTCTCACCTCCACCTCACACAAGAATATTATCATCCAAAATTGTGTTAGGTGAATAAATCACATTAAAGACTACCAGAAGCCACCTGACCATTTGAATGACTATAAGACAAATGTCACAATCACATAACCAACATGGATCAGGCAAGTGTCTGCATCTAATAAACCCTACCCCATAACCTTTGTCACCTTTGTATGCATCCTGTTTGACTTGCTGCTCTGAATGTTGGACTTGACAGTACTTGGTACTAAAACTAGATGTGTATCTTTAAAAGAAGACAAAAGCTTTCTATAAAAAGATATGAGTTACTCATGCAGAAAAATTGGGAGAAATATTAATTTGTGAAGAAAAAGAAAAGTAGAATAAAAGAGAACAAAAAAGTCTCCCATCATCTCAAACCTTTGCTAATATCGGATATGTCTTCAGTGTGGTTTCATTTCATTCTATTTTTATGTGTATGTACACATATATACTTATACTCTTTTAAGCATAAATTATATAAGAATAGTCCTTCTGCAGCCCCTGTACATTTTTAGTGTATCATTTTTACATAAAGAACATATATATACTTACATATGTGTATATATATATATATATATATACATATATATACACAGATGTGTATAATGGCATATTTTCTGAGCCAGTGACAATGGGAATCTCCAGGAAGGTTTTCAGAAATGCAAAATCTTAAGCCTACTATAGATGTACTTTGCCAGAATTTACATTTTGAAAAAAAAAATCCCTGGGTTATTCATATCAAAGTTTAATAGAGTTTAACAGTCATTGACATATCCCTTATATTTAATTCTGTATCATAGTCATTTATCAAACTACAAAGGTTTTATTTGTTCTATATCCCCCATTAGTTGCTTTTGTAAAATTACAGAAACATTTAAAGATCACAGAAGAACAAATATATATAGGGGTATGTGAATTGGTGAAAAGATCTCTAAAAAAGTGTTGTCATATCTTTTTTAAACTGCTTTATTATTCTAAAATTCTTCCTAATGAACAGTTGATTGATTATTACATTTTAAATTAATTCAAAAATGTAGTTCCCCAATTATCTGAGAATGTGAAATTAATATGTTCTCAAAAACCCCTTAGGGGAGGAAGGGCAGGAAGTTACTAACTACAACCCAATTACAACACTTCTGCCTGTTGAGTCAGGACTTGTTATCCACTCGTGATGAATTGTGAGAGGGTGAGGAAAAGGTGGAGACTGAATTTGAATCAACTGAATCAGGTAAGAAAACAATGAGCCAAGACTCTTGAGCACCATGAGATCTCTATAACCACAGTTAGGACTTTGCCCTTTAATTAGAGAGGGCAGATCTTTATGAACCTGCTTCTCTAGATGAAGATAAGAAAAGAAACAGTCCAGATTTCTTTGGGGAGAGTAAGGAGTTATGATCAATTCTTTGCACTGTGCAGCCAGTACATACCAACAAAGCAGAAGACAGTTATATTCAAAGCAAGGGATTAAATTTAAAATCAATGTCAGAGCTTTCAGTTTAACAAGAGTATTTTCGGGAGACTAGACGTCACAAACTAGAGCAGAGGCCATATGTTCAAAGCTTGGTTTGGAAGGGAGATGGCCAGTGTCACTTCTCTGGCACAAACGCCAGGCAGGGCAGTGGGAAAACTTACTTTCCCTCTACTTGACTAAGCTTTAGGTAGGCTTCTTTCTGAGTATAGGTTTCTGACTATCCTCTACAACTTTAGAAAACGTGGCCATGTGAATTTTCTCTGCTGCTTTGAGTAGTAAATCTGCCCCCACTTTTTACTAGTTTCACTACAAGTCCCTACCAGCCTCTTTGCAATGGAATCATAAAGGAAGCAAGGACCTCAAATTCCCCTTCCCCATGATAGAGTAGGAGCCCAACTTGAGTAAATGTCCTTTAGCAAACACAGATGACCTCGTCACATTAACCAATCTCTCCTCAACATTCTTCAGTATTTTCTTCACTAATTTATCACAGGTAAAAATCTCTCTTGCCATTTATTTCACAGCAGTTGGAGGTCATTTTCTCTCCTCTCACATAATAACCTTGAATAAAATCTTCCTTTGTTTGACTGTCCTGTGCAATTTTCCTTTGACAATAGTGAAAAAGGGAAAGCATGGGTGTGCTTTGATTGGATTCTGTTGGCATGAGGAAGCTGGAAGCAAACTATCCAGAAGGAGAGTTTCTTATATGATCTGCTTAAAACTCTCTCAGGTGGGTAACTTGAGTTGCAAGGCCATAAAAAAATGGGGAAGCTGACATTCATTTATTAAGTCCTGTCCTTTTGGACTTATTTTACAGAGGCTATGGTTTGCTTTTTCAGATTAGTCGTCATAGAAGGCTACTAATATGCCTTCTATGTAGGCTGGCATTCTATCACTCTTGTAGGTCATTATCTAGGATTAATAAGTAAATGAAAAATACTTAGAACAGTGCCTGGTATATAATAAATGAACAAAATTAAAATTAACAATTATTATTCATGGCAACAGTTGTGATGGTGCTGTGGTTTGCTTCACTTTTCATCCTAGCCAAGCTTTACTCTTTAACTGACAAAGAACAGGAGACTTATAACACAAGAAATACTCTCACATCTAAGTCACTGATTTTTTTACATAGACTCTTTTCATTTTTCAGAAATATTACCATATACAATATGACCACTGACCATTTATAGGCTCATTCTTTCATTAAGTGTGTATATGTGTGCTGTAAATTGATCCTAGAGTCTTCTACAAAGCATGTATCTACCACTGAGTCACAGTCTCTAGTCTTAATTAATGTTAAAAGAGTCTTCAAGACAGAAACTAGAAGACTCTGAGAATTCTGGAATATTTAGTCACAGAATTCTTTGGAGATAACTGAACTGAATTATACTTATGTCTTAGAAACATCCAGAATGCAGCATTGCAAGTCATTTCTTATTCCTTTGGTCCTCACTGTTGGTACCCAAAATGAAATCCAATAGATTAGTGCCACCTTACATTGAAACTAAAGTAAGGCTGGCAGAAAGACCACCTAAGTATGGGGTACTACCCAGTGGTCATGAGGTTGTAGGGTACATAAATCTAACCTTAAGATGACATAACCTAGCTTAAACTCCTGTGTGTTAAAACTGCTTCGTGTGTCCACTGGACAATCATTTAGACATATTCTACTTCGTGACTTTGAATGTGTTTTGAGAGCTCACTGGGTTTCTGAAAAAGTACCTACAATTTAATATTGTGAATTAAATTTACTTGAGAAACAATAAGGCAATATATCTCCAGACAATTATTACCAAACCAAAAGAACTTCATGGAGGTTCTGAATGCAGTTTCTGTAAGTATTCTCTGATAACCTGCTCTGACTCAGACAGACACCCTAAGCCTATCTACGAAACTACCTGCCAGCCTCAATGTAGACCCAGGTCCTGCAAGTAATAAAAATTTAAGCTTCACAGTCTTTCTACTCCAACTGGGTGGGAAGATTGAAAAGTTAAAAACGAAATAATCTTAATAATAAAATTGATCCTAATTCTCTTTAAAGCATGGGGTGAGGGTGTTGCACCAAGCAGTATACAATGAACAGTGCATTGTCTACAGATTTTAAAACAATTGTAAGGCCATACTAGAAGCAAGTCTGTTTTCTATTATTACTATTATGCTTAGTGACAAAATACTCCTCTCTGAAAAAAAAAATCTATCACTGATTTGAATTCTAAGAAATTACTGTGGTTGCTGTATCAACACATTTTAATTTTCTTTTCCTATTTCTTCCAATAAGGAAGCTCATTTAAAGGGCTTTCAGTGTGGTCTCTCCAGTATCTCTATCTGTTTCTTTGTCTATTTCTCACACTTGCTCTCTCTCTCTTAGCTACAAGCATTTATTTTGAGAGTAGATTCCTAAGACATCACAGTTTTTTAAGCTCACTTTGAGTGCACTTTGTTTTCCAACCCTCATATATTTCTGAATTTTAAGAGTAGATTCAACTGGCAGTGTAGCTCAGTGGTAGAGTTCTTACCACTGCAAAATAAATAAATTGATTCAATGTAAACAACAACACAGCAATTGTAGTTACTAAGGAAAAGAAATTGAGTTGTATCAATTTTGACATTATATGTGACTTATAAAATAGGGAAACAATACAATGTCAATGTTTTATGAGCTTATAATAGTCACATGGAGGGATACATTGTGATATTTACATATGTGTTTACAATATATCTTAATTAGATCCACTTTCTCCTTCCTTCTTCCCCATCCCCCCTCCTCCTCTACTTAGAACAATTTCAACAGGTTTCTTTACTCTATTTTCATTTATGAATACAAAACACATCCATCACAAAATATAATAATTATTTTTGTTGTTGTTGAGGTACTGGGGTTTGAACTCAGGGCCTTCACCTTGAGCCACTCTGCCAGCCCTTTTTTGTGATAGTTTTTATCAAGACAGGGTCTCATGAACTATTTGCCTGGGCTAACTTCAAACCGTGATCCTTCTGATCTCTGCCTCCTGAGTAGCGAGGATTACAAGCATGAACCACCAGCATCCGGCTATAATTTTTGCTATATAAGTGCAAATTTAGTCTTCAGGTGAATTATTTTGCTGGATTTCAATAGCTCCAGCGTAAAATTATTCTTTTTATTATTAATTATTTTAAAAGTAAAGAATCAAGAAAATGCAATATTATCTGGGTAGTACATTTTAATTTTCTTATTTCTTTGTAGACATTTCAGTTTTATTAAAGTTTCTTTATTAGTTACTTCACTATTATGTACATAAAACTATGTTGTATCAGACTCTAATCAAAGATTCAAAGTTATTATTTGTTTTACTTTGTGATTCTTAATAAACATTCTGCCTCCAAAGGGTATTTGAAAAAGATATTTCCACCATAGAAGAGCACAACTCTTTCAATTTTCCAAGTCCACATGACTCCCAGGAACATGGAATAACAACAAAATGAATTTTGAAGTAGTCTGGAAAGAAGACACACAAGGCAGAGCCAGCAAAGATTTGTTTAGCATAGGAAAACAAAACAGGGTGCGAGGATAGAGAGAGAATAAGTTCAGATCACCTTCAGACAAGCTGTCCGAAGCTAGGAACTGAGGGATAAATGGGTGAACAGTTGACTCAATTCCTTGCTGTCCTAGTGATTTTTCAATCCTATTTTATTGGTTCTGTCCCAGCTCCTGAACTCAGCTTAGTTTTTGATCTAATTTCCATTTCTCTGTCACCTTAGCCTAGCTATCCTGCCTCAATTATTTCCTCACCTCCTTCTGGTGGCAGACACACCAAGTATGCCTCTGCTAATAGGTAACCATAAAATCATAAAAGTAGAATGCTGACTGGGTTGTAACTAAAACACAGATTTCCTGATTTCTAATCAA